TTTTGCCATTTAGATTGTGAGGTGTGATGCGTATTTTCTCTTACGTTTATGGATATATAAAAGTGATTTTATATATGTATTATTAATTATGTAAATCCATTTCATTTTCAAATATCGTGCCATTTTGTTTAAAATATAAGAGAGGTGTATATTTACATACATTTTTGTTATAACAGTACTGTATATTTATATTTATTTTTTCTAATACGAATTTTTTTTTAATATACGGGGCCTTGGGCTCTCACGCTCCTCAGGGTTATGGCAGAAAATAAGGGATTTGCCATTTTCTAGGCAAATCGTATCCTGAGACCCTTTTGGTTTGCTGCAGCACACAACCCAACATATTTCCTGTTTTTCATTTTATTTCTGCTGCTTTCTGATTTATTTGTTAATATTAAACAGTTATAAATTAGTATGTGTTGTTGGAGATGCAAATAAAGTTTATTATTATTATTTATATCTTATTATATGGGCGTCAAACGAATAACGTGTGGATTTAATTTTCCTAATAAGACAAATAAAAACTTATTAAGTCGTGTAGTACATATCAGTAAACATGTAATATGTGCTAGGCTATAAATCGATGTTCGTTCAATCGAGCTCGTTTGTTCCATAAATCGAATGTTAAACTTGATATACGAATGGTTGCTATGATTGCGCCGTGCACTCGAGAAATAAGAGAAAAACACCACTTCAAATCCAATTTGCCATGAGCTTGCTGCAACTGTGTGGACACTTCTGAACTAATATTTATTCACATTGTATTTGTATAGTATCTAAACATGATATGTGTTGGTTACAGTTAAAAAAATAGTCAAGAGCGTACCTGATTCAAGCGCGAATGGTTCTGCAGAAATATTACACTTTAAAAACCATTTTTTTTTTGAGATTTTGATATATAGAACAATTTAAGTGTTATTTTTTTCATAATTTTAGACCTAGTAGTTTCGTAAATCGATAGTCTTTTTTCGATTTCTTTAAGGAATAAAAAAAATATATAAACGTATATATTCGAAATCTTCACAATAAACACTTACAATGACGATTGGGTAAAAAAAGAAATTGTATTTAGTCCGTCTGTCACATAATAGAAAAATATTAGATACGTATTTTATTTTGCTTCAATTTAATAAGTAATAGCTTAGATAATAGGCATTAAAGTGGCGGAGTGGGGGCTCTTTATGTCACGACTACGTAGAAAATGTACAAAGGAGTAACGTCATACGACATTTTGTCTAAATGTATCACCGTAATTTATTGATTACGCAACAAATAAAAAAAGGTGTTTTAAATTCTTCAATAGTCTACCTGTCAGACAAACAAAATTTTACTTATCATCCCATCCTTATATCATCGAGTTAGGTCATATTATTGAAGCGTAGATGTGATCCATATGTGTCGTATGATCCAGTCTGTCAATACTGCTTGCTGTGCTACAGGTAACGAGATGAATGTCCAATTTCCTTTCACCTAGCTTATCTCGACACACCACGATGAAGCTATCTGAGCTGATGGCATATGATATTTGAGGCTATCTATAAACGTATCGACACTGCGAATAAAAGAGGTCGTAAACACCATTTTGGACGGAAATTATTGATGTAGTTTTGTTAAATCTCAAGTCTAGCTCTATTAATATATATTGAGAATGAGCCATAACATACCAATCAGGCCCAGTGCGGTGTGATTGGTTTTAAGGATTGTAGATTGCTTCCCAACGCACAGTATAAAACCAATTGACACATAGTGATTTTATGATTTTTCGGACCCTTTACAGATCATTAGTAGATTAATTTAAATCTAATATATTCGAAAAAAAGTATATCTTAAAGTAATCCATTAAATGAATTGGAAGATATTGGTATTTATGTATTGAAGTATTTGGTGTGGAATAAAAGGTGGACTATAAAAATAAAACGGCGAAATGTAGCGCGAACGAAGAATAAAAAGTGGGATGAACATTACTTCCTGGGAATGAAACATGGATGAATAATGGATGGTGTGAAAAAAGAATAAATACCTACTTCTTTTTTTCAAATTGTGGTTTTTCAATTGATGTACATCGGGTTTTGTTCAAAACACGTTAAGACAATTACTTAGACTTGGCTAGCTGGCTTCTACTTTATTAACTGTTTCCACGCGACTTCGTTCGCGTATTTATAGACTTTGTCGGCCGCGTATGGTATAGCTTCCCGTTGGTGATATATTTTTTTAAATTCGTTTAGTAGTTTTGGAACCTATTCGATAAAAACAAACAAACAACCGAATTTTCATCTTTGTATTAATAGTAGACAATGAGATAAGAAATTAGTGTGAATATAAATGACAAGTTTGCCTTTTGTCGTCTCCAACTATGACTTATTAAAAAAATCCTAACTTTAATTTAAAGTTCCTAACTCTAATTTAAAGTTATTCCATTGCCACATATAATCAAAGTTCAATTTTATCTTAATTATTTACGATGTTTCAAACACAGTTAAACACACAACTTAAACTAAGTTTAGACTAGTTTGTTACCAATACACGGTATGCTCTTTTATATAATTTTAAACCGAATGACGCGGACAGACCGGAGTGATAAGTATAATAAAACTTCTCACTTTTCTGATAACATAAAAAGATATATTTAAATATAGCAATATACTCGATCGTTGTCGTTAAGCAACTTACGCAAGGCCGGTCACGGGATGGGTGACCAAAAATTATTACCTCGAGCTACTCCGTGCTTCGGAAGGCACGTTAAGCCGTTGGTCCCGGCTGGATTTGTAGTCGTTAACACCCGCCAATCCGCACTGGGTCAGCGTCAGAGGGTCATGGCCCATGCTTCTTAACCACCCATAAGGAAGGCCTGAGCCCCTGCAGTGGGGACGAAATAAAGGGCTGATGATGATGATGATGATGATGACAGCCATATTACACCTTTACGAAATTATGGTTAATTCAAGGCTAGCCTATCCATACAGCCGAACTAGGCAACTGCCTAGAGAGCTCGTATTTGGGAGGCCGCGTGGCATAATCTCTTTTATTTTTATTACTGATGCAATATCTTGAAAATACTTTTTGGTTCTTAAGACATGAATTCACGTCTGCAGTGTGCAAATGTACAAAATTCTGAGACTAATAGCAACTAAGGAGTTTCTTTTGGCATCAGTCTTTTATTTTGTTGTGATTTAGCTTTCGACGGTTTGCCTCTCTTCCTTATTTGTCCGAGTGGAATATTTTTAGCTTTAACTGGAGGGACGATTTACTTCAAGCGTATGGACAAGTCAATCATATGTTTACATATATATATTTTATAAAAGTTTGGGCAAGTACATGTTCCTTGAGGCCATTCTTCTTTATTTTACGGTAATATAACTTCCCATTTATTAAAAAATTGCTCTATAAACTCATCAAAATTTTCTGGTGGATTTTCAATTGTTGCACATTCTTTAGCTTCTGCAGCAGGTACTTGATAATGCGTCAAATTATCATTATCATTATTAGATATGATTACAATCTCTTTCGGTAGTTTGGTCCAATTATATGATTCTGTCCAGTCTTTCCAAGTTATATCCGGCAATATTGCAAAATAGTTTTCAGAAGGGTTCTGTGTATACTTTAAGGACCACTCGTTCACCATTTCTTCATCTACCCGCGCTAATAAGCTCCGCCCAACTAATGAACATTAACCTCTCTTTCCGATAAATTTGAATACGGGTGTCACCGCTCGCTATGATCTGACGAACTATTTATCGAACCGCTCATTCAGTTATTGGACTGCTCAATTATTTTTTGAATTGACATTGTATGATAAAATAACGGACAAATTAATTTTTTATTACTATCCATGTTTTACTGTCGCAATAATTAATCAACCGCCATTAAATTAAATAACTGCTCAATATGTTTTTCAACTGAACATATTAACATCTCGAATATTTAAATAACAGCTCAAAAAAATTGTCCCCGATTTTTATTCGTTCCCATACTTTGCCTAGGACGTTAAGGTTCATTGAGCCTGCCTGGTTGATTTATATAGAATAATATCTCTAATCGCATGAAAGCAGTTTTTAGGTCAATTTTACGAGTCGATTTAACGAGCTTGTGTTTATTCTATTTTCTTTCCCGTCGGCCTATTTCACACCTCATTAAAGAGGTAACTTTACTCCCCAACCCTCTCTATAACGTGGGTCGTTAAAATATTTCACTGTAGATATATTATGTTTGGTCTAACTTTTGAAGATAACAATTTTGTTAACAACAATATTGTGTTTGAAACGTTTATCATTTTTTTAAAGTAACCATGAACAGCTTGATAATGTCCTTATTGCTGACGCACAGGCATTCCTTATAGTTAGAGTAGTTAGGGTAAACGGGCCACAATCTACCACGCGAGGCCAGTGCGATAGTGTTGTGTGTAAACTTATTATTTAAGAATGTAAAAATATATATTTTATTGAGTAGCGTAGTGGATAAGCACCGCGGCCCACGATCGTGGTTGTTAAGCAACTTTCGCAAGGGTCGGTCACGGGATGGGTGGCCATAAAAATAATAATCTCGTGCTACTCGGTGCTACGGAAGGCATGTTAATCCATTGTTCCCGGCTTCATTTGCAGTCGTTAATCCAATCCGCATTCGGCTAGCGTGGAGGGTCACGGCCCATCTTCCTTAACCATTTATAAGGAAGGCCTGAGCCCCGGCACTGAGGACGTAAAAGGACTGATTACAATGGTAATGATAATATATATTTTATTAGTTGACGGAAATAAGCTTCAGAACACAGAAATAACCCCTTTTATGTATTCTCCAGAGCACAGCGCTGTCACAGTATACAGGTTCAAGCAAATAAAATCTACTTCAAAATTAATTAAGGTTTTATTGGAGAATAATAAAGCTTCACACTTCTCCCACAGTTCTCCATTAGTATATACTTGAACTGTGCCATTTCAAGTATCAACATATTATGTATGCGTGAATGCAAAATTTATCACATACGATAAGAAATATTTCTTTTACAGATGGTGCACACAATGATGCCGATAGCACGATCAATATCCCTGGGCATGTCGGTTATTCTAACGTTGGCCTATTTGGGCATCGCCATAGGACTAAGGCCGGAGGAAGAGAAGAATTTCTTCTATCAACAGGTAAGGATATTTGATTAATTTTCTCACTACGAGAATATTCGTCCAATCTTTTGATATAATCACATTCACAACATATTGGATTTTAACGACTGTAGATAGCAGCTTAATATAATAATATTTCGATCACCCATCCCATGACTGACTTTTATGAAAGTTGCTTATTTTCTATAATCGCTGACTGAAGACAATCTTGTATCATTCTTTTGAGATTAACTCCGCATTTGTTTAATTGTTCAGATCTTCGTTCAGATTAAAAGCTTCACTTTTAGGATATAAAAACCTCAACTCCCAGAGTGGAGGTTATTAGAAAAGTTAATTTTAAACATTGACTCTAACGGGGCTTGAATCCGGGTTCTTAAAAATGGCAACACCATGAAACTGGTCTGCGAGTTGGCCACTCTGTTATAAAACTGATTTCTCTAGGTATACTTATAGTATTTGAATTTTAATATGTTATAGCTTTATATAAGCTTTTATGTTATATATTTAAATCAAAAAAATTTTTTTTTTGTAATTCCGATGGGAGTATTTATCATGGAGAAAAACTCTCAATAAATTGGATCATTATTAATGAGATTATCGATTTTTCTGAACGTTTGTTACTTTCAGTCAATGTTCAGAAAAATAAAAGGTCATTTGTACTTTATAGCTCCTGGAAAATGATGAGCATGCAGCAATACACCAGATGTTGCTGTCCTCGACACAGTTCAAAAGTTATTTTAATATTTTTTATTTAATGAAAAGAAATTTTGTTGACTACCCACTTATCACACTTCCTTTCACCTGTCATTACTCGTTTTGGCGTCGTCCAAACCACTCTACAATAACACCTGATTAAAAATGAAAATAAGTTAATAATGCAGTTTTATATAGAATTTCAAACTCTATCGACCTGTTTAGAAAATTTCAATATTATCGCTATTATTAATGTAGAATGTTTGGGCATAAAAGACAATGTAATAAGTAATTGTTTTTTACACCATTTGAAAAATAATTACATATTTAGTTTACACCACTTTTATAAAAAATAAAAGTTTCTTAAAAAAAGTAGAATCCAGAAATAAAAAAGGAAAAATTTAAAATATAACCCCCTGTATCATGCACCAAGCTCGATGGATGGCTAGAGCTATCTACTTCCTAAAATTATTATAATTTATCTCGCAATTTGAAATTACTAGTACCGGCAAGAAGTATCTCTGTAGGATACCTGCGTGTAAAGAAAAATAACCTATTATTAAAACAATTGAGTGGGATTTTCTTTTAGTAAATTATAAGTTATTTCGTGTAATGAACATTATTCGCCCATATATTATATATCGATTCAGATATTAAACTTTAGTGTAATTTATTTGTCTGTAGTTTATTTGATTTGGAAAAAAAAATCGAAGCTCTGAGCATCTGTATGTAATCTCTAATCTTCGAGAGAGATATGAAGTTTGAAGTTTGATATCGAAAATGATTACATTCCTCCCTATCCCAATTATACCCAAAAACTATCAAAATAAAATTTTCTTTTGCTCAAAATAATGACAAGTAAAAGGCCTGCGCAGGAGCGTGATTACCCATCAATAAAGTTTCTTTTATTTAAATAAAATTTATTAAAAAAACTTTTGCACAGTGAGGACAGCAGCATCTCGTGTACTGCTACATGTAACCTCTAATCATCTTCGATCAACACATTCGTATAATAAGATATGAACCTTCACAAGGTAAGTTCGTTTGATTCTTAATTATTATGAAATGCTTACCTATCCATCTAGAGCTTATTTAACTTAATTCTAATAATGTATTATTTGTATTTATTTATTAAAGGAAATTATTAAACTATTAACCTATTAAAGAAACGTCACCACTTAACATAAATGGACATCCTCAACTTGAAACTAAAGTTTAGAATGGTGACTCTGTGTCCCTCTCGTTAGTGTGAAGACTTGAATTGCGACAAATAATTTCAAACTCAATGGTTTTATTAATAAGGCTTAACAGTTGAGTAACTTGGATGTTATGAACGATCTCGTTAAAGTTCTATTCGAGTTACACGCCAGGGTCCGCTTACCCCTTTATGTAGATGTAATTGTATAAACTTGTATCTGTGAATGAGAAATTCCAGTATTAGAAACGATACTTAGAAGAAGTCAATCACATTAAGCAAACAAATAAGAGAAGATCTGCTGTAATGCCATAGTAATTATCAATTAACGGACCCATTATTTAAACAAATAGAAGTTAAAAAAAAATTGCTGCAATTATATCTTCACCTGAGGCACTTTTTGACTTCAGACTGTTTATAGGTAATTGCCCATAATTCTCCTAAACAATAAGAAGTTTCCATTTGCCCACTCCTATAATTTCGCCCTCACTTTCTTGTGGCATACGACTACGCTGTCCTTTGGTCATCCCTATTATAATATAGCTATAAAAAGATTTTTTTGTTTGAAACTTTTTAGAGCATGATTTAGTTGTAGTCAGATTGTATTTTCGGGTGTATTTAATCAAAATGTTCTAATTAAGCTCTTTCATATAAATATCATCATCATGATGATGATGATGATATAATATCCTACACGGAATGATTATTTTTTTTGTTTGTTTCTTATTTATGCTCTATAGAGGGCGCTGTTGCCAATTTAATGTAACGTAGCCTATATAGCACGCAGACAACTTATAAGATGCTTCTAATGATATCTTTTTTGTCCAGTTGCGATGACTAATTTCCAAATTATAAGGGAACAGATGAACATTCTTACAAAAATAAATACCGATCAAAATCATAACCTTCCTTTTCGCATCGACATAGTCGGGTTAAAAACTACCATTAAACTCATAAAACAATTTTGATATTGTTCAATATTTTTCGTATTAATTTTCTCGAAATTGATTTACACCTGACAAATTGGCAGCTATTTAGGGTTCCGCAGTAAACGAGGAACTTTTATAGTTTCACCATGTCCGTTCGTCCGTATGTCCGCGGTTTAGCTCAAAAACTATTAAGCTCAAACTAGAAAGTTGTAAATTGGCATGAGATTTACACGTTAATTACACTAAAGCGGTAAAGAAAAAAAAAAAAAAAAAGTGGGAATGATCTTTTTTTTCGTCTTCCCCAGAGTGTGGAGCATCGTTACAAAAACATTTGAGGTTTGGGAAGGCCGTTTTTAGATTTAGTAAACCGTTTATGACTTATTAAGCTCTAAAGAGCTAATTTTTGTTAGAGTTAAGGGTCCCCACTCTACCTATATATAACGAAGTTAACAGGAAAACTATCACTTAAGTTGACTTCACAAGTTTACGAGTAATAGTAGAGTATTTAACTCGAAAATTTCAAACAACTCCAAAGAAAACAACAACGTGTTTTTTTACTTTTAATGGATAATGGCATGGAACCCTTTGCGCGCGAGTCCGACTTAGCACTTAGCACTCACAGTTAGCTGGTTCTATTAAATATACTTAAGTGCTTGTAAAATTAATATAACTATAATATTAAGTTTTATTTTTGTTTTACTGTACGAAATTGTGACTATCGAACTACAATTATGTAAGTAAGTATTCTATATTATTTTTTTAAATTCAAATAAACTATAGTGCCACTCAAAATACTGTGTAAAAAAAAAAAACAAACAGTGCGCCTGTCAGACACAGATAAGCAATGCTCTCCAATTGTGAACGGTTGCTTTTCAAAATGGCTTGGCGCTTTGATTGTTTGGGTAGTACATACATACGTTACGGCTTGAGCGAGAGTGCTCTACACGATAACACAGCTTTAAAGCTTAACTCGTTCTTGTGTTAATTGAATAGAGGTCATCCATCACTTACGTCATACAAATAATTTTCATGTTATCGAATGTACCTTAATTTAAATAACAACTTATTACTAAATAACCTAAAATACTCACTAATCTGAATGGAAAGCATCGATGGAGGAGAAAAGAAGGAATTCTTTGTACAGAAACATATGAACTCCCGCACGCACAAGTAGCTAGTTACGAGCCGAATCACTCCAATTCTAATGTTCACTTGTTAGGTATTAATTAGTGAGATGTAGGTAAAGATAAATTGTTTCAGTGTATTCTTCGAATCGAATAAACTGATTTGTTCCTTGCGGCAAAAGATGTACTGAAATCTGAATGGGTTTTAAAAATTGGTCTATTCGAAAGAGCTTTCAGTAATCTTATTTTGAATGAAAAAAATCCTTTCAGGCCTTAGTTTGAGGTTGATGTCTTTAAAAGGGAATTCCTATTTTTAGCCGAAGAAGGAGAATTTAAGAACAAAATTTGTCACATTTTTTTTCTTACATCATTTGTGCGAAATAATTCCGTAAAACTTTACGTAAAATCAATTAACTTTTGACTTTAAATACCCAATTATTAACTATTGCACATTCTAGAAATAGTGTAGACACGAGATTTACGAGATTTTACGAGTTTCTTAGATGATATTTATAATGACGCTTAATAAATCTTACTCTAAGATAAACTCCCCTTTTCCGGTTTTTTTCAGTGAACTGTGATCTTAGTCATAATTTTGTATTATTAATAATAAAAGAAATAAAAAACAATACCGCTAATTTATTTTGTGTTAAAAACGGAAGCTCTCAATGTAGGACTTTTTCAGACAATGGATTACAGCTTGAGTTTGAATAAACGCATTGTTTAATTTGAACCCAACAAATTTTCATTTAAAGGTGATTTATCTCAATATTTCATCTATTGATAACAAAAATATATAAAATGTGGATGGCTCCTAAAGGTAAATTCAATCGTATCAAACTTATTGTGAAGAAATAAGAAAGTTATAGGTCAAATAAATTTGAATTTTGGCGTGAGAACATGGTTACCGACAACAGTTGGTTACCAGTGAAAATAATTGCGTAATTGAAAATCTATTTTCAATCAATGACTATCTGTTTTTTTGCAAATATGATAATTATTGAGACTAGAATGATTTCTTTAAGTAGGTGCTTTTATTTTAAGCGAATTCAGAATTAAAGTGTTTACAGTCTTAGG